ACATTTTACACTGTAACCCAGGACAGTGTGTGTGCACACGTCTGCGCTCAAGGGGCTGTGCAGATGCTCCCAGGCGTGCTGGCATACACACGCACTGATGCTCTCCCAGACAGATCTCTGGCAACTCTGTTCCTCCAGCCTGTTCTTCTTCATGCCCCTCCATACTGCCACCCAGAGCAGCTGAGCCAGGGTGACCCAGTCCCCCCTACCCCAGGCTGTGTAGCCAGGCCATCCAGGGCTTGAGGTCGGTTGGAGGACATCGTTTGTCCCAAGCAAGCTGTATTCAGCCCAGCGCTGGAGCCCTCCTTGCCCCGGGGGTTTTGGGGACACTGTTGCATTCCTCCCTCCCTTCCCTTGGTTGCTCAGTGATGCTCGTGCACACCTGAGGAGAGGTGATGCCCAGGACCCCTGCTAACCGCTTCTGTCTGTGTCTAGAGAGCCAGCCCACAACGTCAGACGAGACTGTGGTGGCCGGTGGTACAGTGGTGCTCAAGTGCCAGGTGGAGGATCCCGACGACTCCTCGCTGCAATGGTCCAACCCTGCCCAGCAGACCCTCTACTTTGGGGAGAAACGAGGTACGTGTGCAGGAACTGGGGGTTGGGAGAAGGCTGCCTCAGGAAGAGGAGCCACCTCCAGGACTGGAGTGACGGTGGGACAGCGGACCAGGGCTGGTGGAGCCCCAGAGGGTGATAATCCCTCCTGCTCCCCACCTACAGTGATGCCACCAGGCAAAATACGAGCCTAGCGGAGGGGTGCGGTGGTACTGAGCCTGTCACTTCCCCCCTTTGTCCCTCGCCCCCCAGCCCTGCGAGATAACCGGATCCAGCTGGAGAGGTCCACACCCAACGAGCTGACCATCAGCATCAGCGATGTGGTGCTGTCGGACGAGGGGGAATACACCTGCTCCATCTTCACCATGCCCGTGCGGACTGCGAAGGCCCTGGTCACCGTGCTGGGGAAGAAGCCACCAGTGGCAGCCCCCCCACCCGCTCCCCATCTCCTGCCCCGCTCCTGCCCTGCCTGAAAGATGCTGCTCCTGGCTGCCTGCCTGTCAACTTAGCCTTGTTTATTGAGGTGTCTCTGCCTGCACAGCCGTCTCTGGGTGGCAGCACTCACACAGCTAATAGGCTGTTGTGTTTCTTGCCTCATCCTCTACCAGGAATCCCCCAGAAACCCCAGATCTTCGGCCACGAGCAACCTATTGATGAGGAAAAGATAGCCCGGCTGACCTGCCGGTCCTCTGGCAGCAAGCCCGCGGCCCAGCTCCGGTGGAGGAAGGGCAATAAGGAGCTGACAGGTGGGTGTCCAAGCAGCGGGCCTCTGCCCTGAGGGACTGGGGTGGCTGGGGAACACCATGGAGGCCGGTGAGGTGCCAGGGGTGGTGCTGGACCACGCTGGCATCCTGTGCTACTGACAACAAAGGGACAGGGTGTCCCCTGTTCAGCATGGACGTTGGCCTCGTGGCTCTGCTGTGGTACCGCGTCCGTCAGCTCTGACAGCCCCCTGTCCCCACAGATGAGGGCACCGAGGTGGTGGAGGACCCCAATGGAAAGACCTTCACGGTGAGCAGCCGGGTGGAGTTCCGCGTCACCAAGGAGGACAATGAAGCCGAGGTGACCTGCACCGTGGACCACGAGTCCCTGCAGAACTCTGAGAGGTCAACCACGCAGAAGCTGCAGGTCCACTGTACGTGGCGCGTGGGGATGGTGGGACAGGGCCACGCTGGGAAGGGGACAGGGCTGTGGAGGGGTGGGGGAGAGATGGATTTTTTTTCTCCTCACCGCAGTTCAGCAGCCATCACACACAGCCTACGTGCACACATGCATGCAAGCTCATCAGCCTGCACCCACAGCGGTCCCGTTACATGCAGGGGCACGGCACAGTGATGCTTCCCCTGCCCACACGCACGCTGTCCCCATCTCCCCAAGACTTGTCTGTGCCATCCCCTGCTGCCTGCCTGCACTGTCTCCCATGTTCTGCCTGCCCCCTGTTCCCCTTGTCCCCTGGGATGACAGGGAGAGGGACGTGGGAGCTGCCCTGTGCACCCTGAGAGTGCTGACCTCCATCCCGGTGCACCCTCCCACCCGCAGGTCCGCTCACGCTGCACCCCTGCACAGGCAGAGCTGGGGCCGAGGCAGGGGCAGGGGTTTTGGGTGCCAGCAGGCCCCTGCATAGTGTGGGGCAGGGACAGGCAGTCACCCAGCTGCTCCTCTCCTCCTTTTTCAGACAAGCCAACAGCGAAGATTGAGCCTCATCCCCAGTACCCGCGGGAAGGCGAGAAGCTCCAGCTGCAGTGCGACGGGCAGGGCAACCCCATGTAAGGTCCCCCCCGCCTCGCCTTCCTCCTGCTCAGCCCCACCAAGCCCCAGCCACTCATCCTCTCACTGCCAGGCTCCCAAAAACACCACTTAGCCCTCCCCAGAGCTTGGACAGGGCCTTGCAGGTAGCAGTGTGTGGGCTCAGGGCCGGGCACTGGCCTCGTATTGATGCCAGGTAGGGCCAGACACCCCATGGAGAACAAGCAAAGCCCCTCTCCTCTCCCTGGAGCAGCAGATCTATCCCAGCTCATCTCTAAACGGGGGATTTCCCTCCTGCTTCAATATTCCCCTCTGCTGCCTGGCCAGGGGACCTCCCCTCTGCCCCAGGGTGCTGGGGAGAGCGGTGGTGCCTCACCCATGCTGCTCCACAGCCCCGAGGAGTTCCTGTGGGAGAAGGAGGGCAGCGACGCTCCCTTGCAGCTGAGCTCCGACAGCGTCCTCATCTTCCCCTTCCTCAACAAGAGCGACAGCGGCACCTACGTCTGCACGGCCACCAGCTCCATGGGCAGCGTCGTGGCCAAGTACAACCTCGACGTCAGCGGTAAGCAGGGCCGCGGGGGCACCCGGCTTCTCCTGGCGGCCGCTGGTTGGCACAGCCGCCTCCATCCCCGGCTGCGCCTCCCTGCAACCGCGGGGTGCATGGATGCAGGGAGGGCTGCGGTGGCAGAAGGGGGCTTGGTGGCACAGGGCAGGGGCGTGCATGCAGCGGGATCCCGGCGCAGTTGCTGGCAGGGCGCTGCATCCCGGCTACATCCAG